AAAAAATATCAAAAATTATATCTGGTCTCTGAATCATTTTTGGTTTGACTGTATATCTTTCTGTTATTTTCACACTTAATTATGTCCATTAAAATGTATTTTACAAGTTTTTGTTACTTTCACAGGTTCATTTTTTTGCTCTATGGTACATCTTCTTTATTTAATAGCATTAGAGCTGCTCCATTGCAGCAGCTTAGCACTGTAATCACGCGCTTTACTGTAATAATGCAGGGAACCATTCGTTATAAATCTCCTAACTGTGATATTGTCACAAAAGCAAAACGCCAGTATGCACAGAAAATTAACAACCACTTCTGTGATACTAAGGACGCCAGACGCATGTGGCAGGGCATCCAGGCCCTAACAGATTATAAAATCACACCACATGCCAACAACAGTGACACCCACCTCCCTGACTTGTTGAATGATTTCTATGCACGGTTTGATGCTCTGAATGACACACAGGCACTTAAATCCATGCCCACTCCTGAGGAGCAGGTGCTCTGTCTGGCTTCAGCTGACGTAAGGAGGATGTTATCCAGAGTCAATCCACGGAAAGCTGCAGGCCCAGACAACATTCCAGGAAGAGTGCTCAGGGACTGTGCTGACCAGCTGGCAGATGTCTTCACTGACATCTTCAACATCTCTCTGAGCCAGGCTGTGGTCCCTGCGTGGTGCTTCAAAAAGACCACCATCATCCCGGTGCCTAAGAAGTCAACGGTGACATGTCTCAATGATTATCGCCCTGTAGCACTGACTACCATCACAATGAAGTGCTTTGAACGTCTGGTCAAAAAACACATCCACTCCACTTTGCCCTCTTCACTAGACCCTCTACAATTTGCATATCGCCCCAACCGCTCAAAAGATGATGCTATCTCCTACACACTGCACTCCGTCTTATCACATCTGGACACAAAAGACTCATATGTCAATATGCTGTTCATTGACCTTAGCTCAGCATTCAATACAATCATCCCACAGCAACTAGTGAGTAATCTCTCTCTACTGGGTCTCAACACGCCACTCTGCAACTGGATTCTAGACTTGCTGACAGACAGACCACAGTCAGTGCGCATGGGTGGCAGAACATCAGGCACCATCACATTAAGCACAGGTGCCCCCCAAGGCTGTGTTCTCAGTCCACTGCTGTTCACACTGCTCACCCACGACTGCACAGCCAAGTCAGAATGTCAAGTTTGCTGATGACACGACAGTAGTGGGCCTCATCAGCAACGATAACGAAACACCATACAGAGAGGAGGTGGAACAACTGGTGAGCTGGTGCTACAGCAACAATCTGTCTCTCAATGTGGACAAGATGAAAGAGATCGTTGTGGATTTCCGCAGAAGTTCAACTGATCATCTTCCCCTGCTCATCAGTGGCTCTGCTGTAGAGAGAGTCAGGAGCACCAAGTTTCTTGGTGTGCACATCTCTGACGACCTCACCTGGTCCATCAACACCAACTCCACTGTGAAGAAGGCGCAACAACGCCTTCACTTCCTGCGGAAGCTGAAGAGAGCCAGCCTCCCACCACCCATCCTCACCACCTTCTACAGAGGAACTGTGGAGAGCGTCCTGGCCAGCTGCATCACTGTGTGGTTCGGAAACTGCAAAACAGCAGAACGCAAGACCCTCCAGCGCATAGTGAGGACAGCTGAGAGGATCATAGGGGTCTCCCTCCCCTCGATCCAGGACATCTATCAGGCACGCTGTGTACGCAGAGCCTCTGCCATTGTGAAAGATTCATCTCACCCCTCCCACCATCTGTTTGACCCTCTGCCATCAGGCAGAAGACTACGCAGCATCAGGACCCGCACGGCAAGGTTCTGCAACAGCTTTTCCCCCCAGGTTATCAGAATCCTGAATAAGCTGATACCACCCAGCATCCTACTCCCATCATAAACTGCCTTCCTACCCCATGTCTACAGGAAAAAAAAACAAAAAAAAAACACTCCAATGGACATTTGCATACATCTGCACTCTGCACTTTCACTTAGCTGTGCACTATAGACACTCTTGCACAACTGCACAATGGTCAGTTTACATACATCCGCACTCAACTGTGTATGTGGAAGAGTGACAATAAAGTTGAAGTTGAAGTTGTCAGAAATAGAAGTCGTGTTTTTTTTCATCTGAAACTTGCTGTGATTTATATTCCAAAGCCACTCATATAATGCAGAAACACTCAAGCAAGCAAAACACGCGCAACGCGTGCACGTATTTGT